CTTTTTTTCCACGGAAAAAGGAAAAGGGTGTAATATCTGGATACCCCCACTGTGATATAACCCAGGTGCCCAGTAAACCCTGGATTTCCCTTCCTGGCCTTACTAAAAGCCCCCATCAAGTGTTTTTAAATATTTGTTAGGAAGAAAAACAATTGCACAAACACTTGCCTAAGTACAAATTTACTCAAAATCATGAAACCATCACCCCAGATTTTTTTTTAAAAATGAAATAAAATGAATTGTTAGGTAGTAATGGATGTTTGAATGATGACTTTTAAATTTAAATTAACTTAAAAAATTCATCGGAAGTTCCGGCTTGAGACCCTGCCATTTTTTTCCATTTGTCGCCCTTTACTGCTTTTGCAGGCGTTACACTGGACGGTCGGCAAAAAAGGGGCCCTATAGTCCCTCCCCAATGGGAACGGAGAAAGGGAAAGAAACAAGGCATATTTGTAGTTTTCTGCTCTAGATTACCAAGTTTTTATTATACAACACAAGCAGTTTATTTAAAAAAAAACTTTCATTCCCCCTCATCTAAAATTCACTCTGCCCAAATTTTGGAAGGGTTTAGTCTCACATTCCAACTGTTAATTTCTGCCTTCCTTAAAACGTCTTTTGATAGTAAGTCTCTACGTGGTGCCATCTCTGTAAGCTCAAATGAAAATAGTCAGACAGAACCGTTCTAATCTATGTTTGGGAAACAAATGACGGCCCAGAAAGCAACTATTTCGGGCAATCAAAAAAAATCTCGGGATTTACTCTCCGGGTCAATCTCCGCATTAGCCCCCCGGAGTTAAAAACATTTCGGTTTAGCTTATGTAATACAGATTCACTTAACCACACGTGAAAAGTTTCCCAAAGTTATCTTCACGTTGGGTTTTTTCAAAAATGATAGTTCTTTAAAATTTCAAGGCAACAACAACTTTTGGGTTTTTCAAAATTGAAAAAAACAGTCACGAAAAAACATTTATGACCTACAAATGGAAAAAAAGCAAGTGACGTTAGATCTCTATCATAAAATATAGATTTGAACCTAATTTCGATCTTACCTGGAAAAATGAAACCACAATGCCAAAAGTTCTGTCTCAAGCTTAGGTTAAGCCCAACAGATGGCATGTGCTGGACAGGATCTCATTTACCAGACCTTAAGTTCACCACTTTATAACTTTTATCAAGCTCCTCCTACATTACGCCTAAAATCATTCTCATTCAAGGATGCCACAGCTCCTCCCCTGTGGGTAAGTTTATTCGCTGTCAGTCAGGGCTGTACAACACTTGTTTAAATTCCCACGCTAGGATCTCCTGGTCAATTCATCTGACCAGAGCAAATAAGACAAGTCACACCTCTAGTCTACTTCACCTGTCATCACAATAAAATCCGACTTTGTCAATTCTTCTGCCAACACTTTCCGCTCACTGTGTCAATAGTGACCGTCGGACCTGCCTTCGAGTTAGGTAACCTCAGGGGGAGATAATGGCAATTAGCCCTTGTTATCTGTTCCTGAAGATCTGGCAGGGGGAATAACTATCTGACACCAACAAATGGTGTGCAAATCTCCAGTCAGTAAGTCTGCTTGGTCAGTCTGTACCTCAACACTTAACAACTGGGAAAAAAGTTTTAGTGTGTGATATCGCCAACATCACACTTAACCCAGTGTGTGATATCGGAGAATTAAATGCTTGTTCATTTCGCCTACTTAGATTAAGGATGTATCCAAATCCCTATTTTCCTGTATACTTTCAAAATACAAAGAAATAAAAGTAGGTTGAGGAAAGACATTCTGGAGTCACCGAGCGTATTGTCACACACTCACTCACGGCCGGGTCGACATGGAAGTCAAGGTCCTTTTTTAGAAAGTCGTCCGGCTCCGTCAGGACGCGAACCCACTACCTTCCGATTCGCAGGCGGACGTCTAGCCACCAACGCCCCGGTGACTCATTCACCAATTTTAACTACAATTGTATACGTCCTTTTGTTTATTGTTCCAGCAAGGTTCTTGAATTGTTCTGAACCAGTTTGTGTACACATGCGTAGATGATGAAGACCCGAACGATTGCTGTTGTGGTTGGGTTATATCTGTGTATGCCAATCTTCAGCCTGGCAGACAGTGATCAGGAGTCGTCAGAAGAGCAGGACAAAGACAACATCAAAGGTAAATATGTTAACTCTTATGTACCGGACAACCCGTTTTCCTTCCTTACTTTTTCCTCGCGTCTCGGGGTTTTCCTAGATATCCCTGTCTCTGTTATGGGCCCCTACTATAAATTATTCTTCTCCTTCTAGTGTGATAAATTGAATACCGTAAAGTGTCGCATAGAGTAGTTAGATGTCTTCTGCGAGTTGCGCAGCTTATGTTAACGTTTTGTTGTGTTTCTGTAGTGTCTCTTTTACTCCCTCTATCCATATCATTCTTGGTCGGCCTCTTTACTGTAGCTAGCTGTTCGCAGGTAGTGCTCTCTAATTTCTGAATGTTTAGTTCCCTCTGACCAGACCACCATACTATTTGATTCTTGTCCAACTGCAGTTAATGAGAGCCAATTCTAAACAACAGAGCTGATATGTTTAAGAAGAGCTGTTGTGGCAACAAGGAAAGACCAAACGACAAATGAAGAAAGTAGAAGTAGACTAGGACAGAGCAACATTAGAGATGGATTGGCCATCTAATGAGAATGACTTAGTATGAACTGCCCAGAGAGTCTCGCTAAAGAAATGCGATGAACACAGAGGAAGGAGAAGACCATGCAAAAGACTGAAGGGTGGCAACAGCAACAGTTTCAAGCAACTACATATTAATTACGCAAATGTAGTAGAAGGACCCCTTCCCACGCTACCCCCCCCCCCTTTCCCCCTTCCCCCTCTCCCCGATGCCGTAAGCGGAGGAAGAGAAATGGAAGAAGAAGACCATCTCTGTCACAGCGTGATTTTAGAGTAACAATTCGCGGAGTCACAAGAAGTTGATACCAAAACCGTCAACCACACATAGAAATTCAATGACAACTTCTCTGAAACTTTATAACTCAAAACTAGAAGAGAGTTGATTCAAGAAACTGCTGCCTAGCAAACGAAAGTGTTAATGATTAGTTATATTGCGCCCCACTATAAGAGAAACGACTGCACATTCGCTAGTACCCCCAGTTACACAACAAAGGAGATGGTTTGTATATGTTCCTATGTATTCAGTAATGCGTGGCTTTCTACCTAGGTATCTTTTACGCGTATGACACACTTCATTTATGCCAGACTGTTTCTGCATATTTCTTCTCTAGATGTTCCAATAAGTGATATAAAATCTTCAGTAATTTCTGGCATTTCTCTGCATATTTACATGTATATGAATATATGATAAACTCACTTATTGCCTTAATTGTCTTCGCTTGTGTATTTGTTGTTTAACTAACCTTAGTTATGTCTCACTTTTCTCTTTACATTTATCTGTAGATGCTTCAATGTTTAACCAATCTTAGTAATGTCTGGCACTTCTCTTTACATTTATCTGTCGATGTTTCGATGTTTAACCAATCTTAGTAATGTCTGGCTCTTCTCTTTACATTTATCTGTCGATGTTTCAATGTTTAACCAATCTAAGTAATGTCTGGCACTTCTCTTTACATTTATCTGTCGATGTTTCAATGTTTAACCAATCTTAGTAATGTCTGGCTCTTCTCTTTACATTTATCTGTCGATGTTTCAATGTTTAACCAATCTAAGTAATGTCTGGCACTTCTCTTTACATTTATCTGTCGATGTTTCAATGTTTAACCAATCGTAGTAATGTCTGGCTCTTCTCTTTACATTTATCTGTCGATGCTTCAATGTTTAACCTTAGTAATGTCTGGCTCTTCTCTTTACATTTATCTGTCGATGTTTCAATGTTCAACCTTAGTAATGTCTGGCTCTTCTCTTTACATTTATCTGTAGATGCTTCAATGTTTAACCTTAGTAATGTCTGGCTCTTCTCTTTACATTTATCTGTCGATGTTTCAATGTTTAACCAATCTTAGTAACGTCTAGCTCTTCTCTTTACATTTATCTGTCGATGTTTCAATGTTTAACTAACCTTAGTAATGTCTGACTTTTCTCTTCACATGTAACTGAAGATGCTCCAGTGTATGACAACCAAACTTGGTCCTGCCCGCAAGGATGGCTTCCCTACGAAGACGCCACGCAGATTTCCTGCGTGGTACGAGCCGAGAAAGCTTTCCCATATCGAGGTGCAGAAACTCACTGTCACAGTCTCGGTGGATTTCTGGTCTCCTTAGAAACCAAACTAAAGGAGAATTTTGTGAAAAGTAAGTTGTTCTTCCATCAGTTGTCAGATTTTTTTTACAAAGCTACGCTGTTCTGTTTCATATCGCCAGACTTATTATTAATATTATTATCAACATCAGCATTGTTTTTGTTTCTTATCCTTTTCTTCTTCGTCGTCGTCTTCGTCTTATTTTTTTTTCTTCTTCTTTACATTTAGCAGTCGTAAACTGGTGGAAAGTTCTGACTGCTCGTCCACTTCTGGATTTTGTTCTTGTTCCAAGCCTTTGAGTTCTGTGTGCACATACATATTACAAACCTGGATTAAGTGTATGCAGACTGCTGGTTCCTCGCCTCTCAGTTAGAGGCACTCCTTTGATTCCGAAAGAAATAATCAATGCCATAAAGCTGTGATGAATATAGTTCAGAGATTGTGGTGGTTATTCTCATAATTTCATGTATACCGGAAGAGTCTCTCGATAGACAAAGTTGGCCAGCCCTATGTGACCACATCACCCGTTGGTCTTCAGACCAATTGTACTATAAAATATATGGTTAGACACTGTCATGTCAGATGATCGGCGAGAGTGCCGCCATTAGCTCGCCGGTAGACGACTTTGGCGCCGATCGGGACAGTATTTATGTCTGTCTCCTTGGATTGCATCAACACTGCAATAGTCCTTTTTAGGGCTGTCGGTGCCGTGCAGTTCTACGCTTTTGTATAGGGTGCCCATAACCTGGTCACAATTATAATCTAAAGCTCCCCCTTCGGATATGCTGGTTGAATGCGATGATATGTTTTCCAGCAATGCACCTACCCACTGTTGTGTCAGATACGCAGACCACCTGAATAGGCAACTCTGCTAACTTTACATTGGGTGTGCTGGGACCGGTAGTTTATGCATTTCGAGCCGACTCCCCCCACCCAAATCACTCACCCCATCCCACCCCTACCTCAGCATACGGAGCAACAGGTTTGAGTTCCTATTGTCCCACCGTGTCTTTTTTTTTTTTTTTTTCACATATTTTTTAAAAATATATTATTATTAATTTTGCCATTCTGAACATAGTTATTGGTATTTGTTACGATTTGAAAAATTTATTATCAAGTACTGAAACGACAGTCGGCTCTGTAGCTAAGTCGATGCGAACACATCGTAATGCCAGGATGCCGGGTTCGATCCCAGCTGCGGGCCACGCTCCTTGCGTTGATTTCGACAGTGGCGTCAAAAAAAACCTACCGTCCAGAAAGCAATGGCAAACTACTGGGCGTAAATTTGCCTAAAAAAACCACACAACAGCCAAGAGCTGTTGGGGTTGGCTCTGCAACGTCCTGTAAAGGATACGCAACTAACCTATTCAAACGACAATTAGCCCCCTTGACGGCCCTATTCCCAGGAAGTTTGTAAAGAACTGAGCGCTCATAATCCCTCTCACCCAATCCACATGTTTTCTTTGGGCCTGCGCCTATGCTTGGTATGATTAGTAAGAGAACAAGATCAACGAATGTGTCTTTAACATGTCAGTTGCCAAAAAAATTCACTTCTCTACAACTGACTTCAATTTACCTGACTCAAAGTCGAACGACTGACTATACACACAAACAAACGTATCAATGTTCTTACAGGGCTAGCCAAAGATGGCGACAGACGGAATCACTGGACCGGTTTATACAAAGAAGAATCGACCGACAATGATTTGAAGTATGTCTGGCAGAGACGAAGCACTGCCGTTCCGGTAAGTAGTGTTTGAGGTTTCTTTGTTGTCCGCATGGAGGGCCCCATCAATGCTCGCCTGTGGATCCAAAGGCTTTTGTTTGAAATCAAACAGAGCAGGACTGTGGGGTTTTTTTTTTTTTTTTTTAAATCATCATCTACTTCTTCCTCCTCCTCCTCTTCTTCTTCTTCTTCTTCTTCTTCTTCTTCTTCTTTTTCTTCTTCTTCTTCTTCTTCTTCTTCTTCTTCTTCTTCTTCTTCTTCTTCTTCTTCTTCTTCTTCTTCTTCTTCTTCTTCTTCTTCTTCTTCTTCTTCTTCTTTTTCTTCTTCTTCTCTCTTCTTCCACTTAGCACATTGTGCTGTGTTCACTGTGTTCTTTAGCTTGGTCCTGTTTGGCAGCTGGTGCAGAACCTGGGTTAATTAGCGATTATTTCCACCTTTCAGGTGATTCAGGAGAATCTACCGCAGCAAGTGAAAGACTATGGGAGCACTTACCTGGAGCGGTGCGGCTATATCTCTGGATACTACAACAATGTGGAGATCGACGACTGCGACTCGGAGTACTTCCCCATCTGTGAAAAGGAAGTTTGTAAGTCAGGTCGTCCTCGGCTACGATAGTCAGATGTGTGCAAGCATGAATGATACAGGTATTGAGGTCGACCGTGGGAATGAGATTGTATGGTCTGTGTTGCATGGGGAGGAGGAGGGGGAGATAGGATAGTCAGGAAAGAAATAGTAATGAAGTAGAAAATGGTTGCAGACAGGATGAGTTGAGCATCAGAGAAGAAGCACCGTAAAACGCTTGCACTGGTGTGAAATCACATGCTCTAAATTAGAAGACCGTTCTTAACGCGGACGGGTCTTGCTAGTCACACTCGCCATCGCCAAGAGCTCGGTTTTCCATACCTTCTCATTCCACAAAATAACAATATAGTCTGAAAAGACAGAATTTTGCCAACAACAAATTCGCCCCTGCTTAATAGCAAAGAAAGTATTCCTCTGTTTAAACATGACACGCTGATTTTCCATATTCGTATATATTTTAACTTTCTGGATGAGACATTATATTTTCCTTGGTGAATGAAGACATCGAAAAGATCACTGGGATCAAAAATTAGTTTTACAATTTCGGATCTATCAAAATCAAAAACTGTTTTCAGTACTTTTAGCGAAATAAAATACTCAAAATTTTAAAACTCTAAATGGTGGTCGGAAAGGACGTTATGTAAAGAATTGGTGCAAACTATTTTGGTCTCTTCCGTGATACGCCTCGTCAAACTAGTAGGGAACAGATTCGGGAACACACTGGAGGACACACTGATAAAATAATAAGCGGAATGAACCGGACGGAATATGACCCACGAGGAAAACATCATGAAGATAATGGATTAGAGGAACAATTAGCGGTCTAACTAAAACAGAAAGCCAGAGAGCTGACTCACATACCACAATCTTAGCCACGCAAGTGGTGCAAATAAACCAGACCACAAATATAACCGGAAACTGCTGACAGCTCGCTGCCAACAGCAGGTTGAACGTGGTCGAGTTTTTTTTATTTTTTTTTTATTGAAAAGAATGGAAGTGAAAAAAGGTAAGTTGACGATCGGATCCCAACTTCTTATGGTAATCAAGACACCTGTTGAATCATGACATGTTGACTTCCCTAATTCATTAAGCGTTTAAACATTCACTGTCCCCATTCTGGAGATTCTCCTGGGCGAGAACTGTTTAGTCAGCGATTGGATTCGAACTTGTGAAATTTTCCATTTGATGCAATGACTCTTCTAGAAAAAGCTACTCTGGTGGGCGGGCGGACGAGCCATGGACCATGCTGATATTGTGAATGCTCTACGAGAAGTGAGACGTTTGCGACAATCAAGTGAGGACTGTGAATCTGCATCAATGATCAGACTGCAACAACAACATGTTAAAATTAAGGACTGTGAATCTGCAGCAATGATCAGACTGCAACAACAACATGTTAAAAGTAAGGACTGTGAATCTGCAGCAATGATCAGACTACAACAACAACATGTTAAAAGTGAGGACTGTGAATCTACAGCAATGATCAGACTGCAACAACAACATATTAAAAGTGAGGACTGTGAATCTACAGCAATGATCAGACTGCAAGAACAACATGTTAAAAGTGAGGACTGTGAATCTACAGCAATGATCAGACTGCAACAACAACATGTTAAAAGAGATGTGGCCAGGCAAGAGCACTATGCAAGAAGCTACAGAAGAGAAGAAACCAGCACAGGACAGTGTCGTCAGCAGCCACACGCTGCGGGATTTATTGAGGAATTGATCTAACCACTTATAGACTGAATAGTTTAACGTGCAGTGAGGATAATCTGTCAACCAACTAACTAACTGACCCTTCTAGAAGATCACTTCAGGTCGTCTTGTTTGCCCGAGTTACCTGTTGACTTTTGCCTTTAGACCTAATAATATATTTTTTTTTAATTTAGATTTTACAACCAAGTTTTAGTTTCTGTAACAAAGATATCTGTGTCTTTAGACCTAATAATATAATTTTATTTTAGATTTTACAACTAATTTTAGCTTTTGTAACAAAGATATATGTGTCTTTAGACCTACTAGTATATTTTTATGGTTTTTTTTAAATATTTTACAACTAAGTTTTAGCTTCTGTAACAAAATTATTTGTTTAAACACCACAGCTTGTAAACCAGGACATTTTGGCAGTAAGTGTGGGCAGGAGTGTCACTGTGTGGGGGAGCCGTGCGACTCACAGCTCCACTACACACCAGGAGGTGTCACCTGCAAGTTTGGTTGTCAGAGGAACTGGATGGGAGCAGCTTGTGACACAGGTGGGTTCAACCAATCCTCTTCGTCTACAGCTTTCCGAACTTTTCATTTTTGTGACACACTTTTTAGATAAGCATAATTACGATACTGTATTTGTACTTTATTGATTACACTAAAGCATTTGATAAATTGACTGACTGACTTTCTACCCCACCAGGACATCGCACAAGCGATAAACACCCGATGACACAATGTGCCACCATGTGGATGAGGATCACCGTGGAGAGGTCCCAGAAACAGCGTCCAGCCATTAGGCTATATTGCGGCCCCTGACAAGAACCGGAGTAGGGCTTCAAATAACGAAAAATTACATCCTAAAAAGGACAGGGGAAAATAGTATATTATGTTATGTAATTGATAAATTGACTGACTTTCTACCACACCAGGACATCACACAAGCGATAAACACCCGATGACACAATGTGCCACCATGTGGATGAGGATCAACCGTGGAGAGGTCCCAGAAACCGCGTTCAGACAATTGGTCATATTTATGGCCTGCCTATATTGCGGCCCTTGGCAAGAGCCAGGGTGGGGCTTCAAAGAACAAAAAATGTCGTCCTAAAAAAGGATTATTAAGTGATTGATAAATTAAAACATAAAGAAATTTTTTTTATTGTTTAAATCTTACGAGTTATGGGTAAAGATCTGAGAATAATAATAATTAAAAATTATACTGGCAATAAGAAGTAGCATCAAGAATAGACAGCCTGACTCGAAATTGTCAAAATATTAAACATTTTTTTTTTTTTTTTTTTTTTTTTTTTGTAATTTCTTTTTATTTTATTTTTTTTTTTTTTAATTAAATAAGCTTTTTATTAAGGTGCATGCAAATTCGAAACACTGAAAACAGACAATGATATATCATAAGTTAACAGGCACAAGAAGTTAAATAATTTTCTTCCCAAATGTTATCTATAATTCTATACAAGATTTTTAAAGTGAACTTTGTATTGGTTCTGGGGCCCTATTATAGGGAAAACCAGAATAGACCCACTGACTACCCAAAAGCATGTCGTAAAAGTCGACTAATTGGGAGCTTCCATCGAAGTCTGAGTGCATCTGCCAGAAAGGCAAGGAACCAGCAGTCTGCACACAAATGAGTCAGATCTGTAAAACGGATGCACACGCAACACTAGGTTTTGGAACAGGACTGCAGTCCAGAAGTGAATGAACAACCAGAACTTTCCGCCAGAGTTTACTGCTGGTGACCGCGAAGAAGAAAAAGATAGACTTTAAAATAGTATAAAGTACTGTATGGGTGAGAGATAACGACTGGTACTCCCATCACCACATTTAAATGTAGGTACTTTTTAAGCATAGAGAGGGCCTAATAAGTGTGAACTGGATTTATTGGATTTGCTCCAGTGATGTGAACTATAACTCGATTAATTTGATTCGTATGAAATAATAATTAGATCCATAAACAGTATGACAGGGACATTGGTTGGCTGGTATACTATTAACAACCCGCCATTTGCTGACGATAATGTTTGATCACTGAAATTAAAACACAACTTCACGAGATGATGGACATAATTGTAACCGAAAGAGAAAACAAGGGTCTTAGTATACAAGTTTGGGTAGCCTTTATAGACTGATGCAGAAACAACCCCAATATATATATATATATATATATATATATATGTGTGTGTGTGTGTGTGCAGACGCCACACATAAATGAACATACTTATATGTTCCAGAGAAAGAAGACCCAGAGGTCAAATATTATTGCATCAATTCGGCAGAGAAGGACGGCAAATATGCTTACATCAGAATTTATACCAAAGGCATGCGGTACAGGTATTGTACTCATTCATTCATTCATTCTTTCACTCTGTCAATAATCCTGTCAATCATCAACTCTTTCATTCATTTGTTTGTGTTTGTTTTTGTTTGTTTTAGTATCCAGAAGCCATGAGTTGTTAACCCTTAGGCTAGGTATTATGGATATCGCAACCTTTCGGTCTTGATTCCATTTTAAATACCGTAAATCTGGGAGAAAATGTGGTTTTCTGCCCACCCCCGGGATTGAACCCGGATCACAAGGAGTTCATCACCCGCTGACCGCGCAATCCGGTTTAGCCAACTACGCTAGAGAGACGGGCTCATTCACTCGTCAATTTAGTGTAGGTTTTGTCAGGGGATGCAACTCACTGTATCAGTTTTTAACTTTAATATTTCGGATTATCTCCCTTTGCCTAATAAATATAGAGGTGTAATTTCTACTAGCCGACTGACGGGCAAACATGAATCCTACATTTGTGGCTCAGCAGACACGAAATGGTAGACAAACAAATGAGGCAGTCGTGCAGGAGATAGATGAAAATCTAACCTGAATCTAACAACTAGACGTAGATCGTCAGTGTTTTCAGGACAAATTATGAGAATGAATGGATTCGAGAACTTGGTTGCAGCTAGCAGGACTGAGGGAAAGAGAGCCATGGGAAGGCAAAGAGATAAATAGATAGATCGCTTTGAGATATGGTTGGCGCATGACAAACCACACAAACCTGATTGGTGATTGCGTGAGATAGCGCCTGAACCTAATAGCACATAAATGATGATAACGATGATGATGATGATGATAAATATGATGATGGTGGTGGTGGTAGTGATAATGGTGAGGTACACTCTACCCGGTACGCTGAAGCGGTTTTCACACTCCATTGCTACAATACAATTTCCACTTACAGAGCTATCTATGGTTTAACGTCAAACAATGTCAGAGGTGACTGGTGCAACTCTACAACCTTCCTGGGCGGGAGCTCTAACCTGACCATCATCAAAATCCCAGTCAACAGCGACACCTCCGCCCAAATGTCAAATGGAGAATGTGCTGGACAGGTCAGTAAACGAAGTAATCTTCTTAACGATTGAAATGATTTGGTCATCTTATGGAAATGTCTCGGTAGTAACTTCCACTACGAACCATGCTAATGAAATCAAATGGACACACCCGTGCTTGGTTGCCATTTTGACTTGTATCATGCTGTTCTCGTGTTGTATTCTCTAGCTACTGGCTGATTTGGTTCCATTCTGACCCGATGACACAATCATTTTATTCTTTGATGTTTTATGACCTAATTTACAAGTACTGTGTTTACCATTGTTCTTAGTTCTTCATTGGTGACTTTGTCCCTTCTGGTTTTTCCCGGTGTCTTTCTTATACATCTCATCTTACACACGCAGTGTCAAAACGACCCCGTACTTTACTGTGAACACACGACATCAAGGTACCTGTAGTTTCACTAAGACAATGTTCTACTTGACAATGTTCTATCTGACAATGTTCTATCTGACAATGTTCTACTTGCAGCAACAGGGAGAGGACACATTCACCTGGGAGATTGTGCTGAAGGAGGTTGACGGGGTGCTGCAGGAGCATGATGTCACGGTCAATGTCACCTGTGATTTTAGTGTGGCCGATAACCTGGTGCGTTCTGGGGAATATTCTACAGGAGGGTAAGTCTGTTTGTCTGTTTGTCTGTTTATTGTCTTTATTGGTTTTGCTGTGTATAATGCTGTCGTCAGCATTATCATTACCGACAGCGTCAAATTAGTAAGTGTGTTATCAAAGACAGTATACACAGAGACCAACATTACGAGGTAGTCTAACAGACAGTAACGTTAGAAATGGTATTGTTTCTTTGGCTGGTTTTTTTTTATTTTTTTTTACTGTTGGGGCAATACGTGTAAGTAGGGACAGGGAGCGACCAGCACGAAGATGGGCACAGGACAAAAGTGGCTCCTTAACTATGAAAGTATAATAACGCAGGAGAGCTGGTGAGAGACCGAGATTCTTTCAGACAGACCGTGATGAGAGCAACGTTCTGCGATGATCTGCTATATGATGATGATTATGACCATCCGTCTAAAGACTTAGCTGTCTATTCAAGAGGCAGACGGAGCTAATATGGGCGTGTCCTGAATTCTGCGATGTCAAATATTTACCCCGATGACCCCAGATGTTAAAGCTGTTGTTGTTGTCGTTGCTGTTGTTTTTCAGTTGTTTTGAAACCTCTTTAGATCTAGTTTTCGACTCTGAAGGTTTTCAAGAACTGTAGGTTGGTGCTAGCTTGATGACGTTTCATTGCCAGATCAGAAGTACAGTCTTTGCATGCTCGTAACATCTGCTATTGAATTATGGTTGTCTGTCGTTGTCCTGAGAACACGCTGTGACTCCTGCAATCTTGCAGTGTGCAACAGTTAAAGTTCCAAAGACTAGGTCGATCTTTTTCTTGATTAGTCTCACTTGATTCTGCAAAGATAAACCTGCACGGGACCGGGTTATTGTTTTGTTTTTTATTACAGTTTTTTTTTTTTTTCATTGTTATTGTATTATTATTGTTATTATTATTATTATTTTTATCACTGATGTCATAGATACCAAGGTTATCATCATGACGTTGTTTATTTTATTTATCCTATCAGTTATAATTCTCATCATTATCATCATCTAATTCTTCTACAAATGCTGCTGCTCCTCCTCCTCCTCCTACTACTACTACTACTACTACTACTACTACTACTACTACTACTACTACTACTACTACTACTACTACTACTACTACTACTACTACTACTACTATTACTACTACTACAGCTACTACTATTACGTCTTCTTCTTTTGTCAAAATCTGCTTGTGCCGCTAGGCGTCGCAGTCTATCAGTTGATCGGCAACCGAGCCAGGGCGCGCTCAGTCGCTTCATATGATGTTATGAAGTCTCAAGTTGTCCGTGACTCCTTCAATCCATCTTCTTCTTGGTTTTCCCCTGCCTCTTGGTGTTTCGATTTTCATGTTGTATGCTCTTGATGCTGGCATCGTTGGTTCCATTCTCATTAGGTGACCAAACCATTTCATTCTTTGCTTCTCAATAAATTTAACGATGGGTATGGTTCCAATAGTTCTTGTAATCACATCGTTTCTCACTCGATCTCTTCTGGTTTTATTCGCAGCCATTCTCAAACATCTCATTTCACAGGTGGTTAGTCTTCTCTCGTGTTCTTTTGTTAATGTCCAAGTCTGACATTGATAACCTAATGTCGGTATAAAGATTAAATTTATAATTTGTCTTTTTATCTCAGCTGGGACAGCAGGGTGTTTTAAAATTGGGGCAAGCTGGTATGCGACATTGTTGGCTTGTTGGATTCTTGCTTCGATCTCTCTGTCTATTTTACCATTGAATGTAAAGATACTTCCCAAGTATTAAAATTTTTGCACTTGTTTTAGGCTGTGATCTAGAATCTTTATGTCGATGGTCTGTTGCTTATGCTCATGACTTCTGTCTTTTCAGTATTGATCTTCATATGATGCTTGAGGCAACTGTCGTGTAGTAGGTTTATGTGGTCTTGCAACTGTTTACTGTCACTGTGAAATAGGCATTGATCGTCGGCAAAGAGCAGCTCATTGAAGTCCTCCTACTACTATTACTACTACTACCACTACCACTCTTCATCACAATTGCTAACATTTACACACTGTCAACAGACAAGAAATCCAACTACAGAAAAAATACGTCAGCCCAGAGTCGACCCGAGATGACGTCATCCTACAGGTGATCCAAGCGTCCTCGGGAGAGTCAGTCAGTGAGGCTGTCGTTGGTACTTCTATTGTGCTAGAGATGAAATACGCTCTGCGGCCAGGTTTGTGTCTCTTAAGGTGTTTTATAGGTCATAAATGTGGCGTTGCTAGTCATGTGTTTCTGTAACTTTCTGTCTCGTGAACTTCCATTTCTGACACAGGATTTCCTCCAGGTCATAATGCCAGATTGTCCAGCGTGTTCTCTCTTGGTCTCCATCTGCCTCCCTTCCCCTCCAACGAAGTATTGAAGTTGATTTCTTCTTCTTCTCCGTGTGGGTTCCGGAATCCCCTTCTGGAGACAACAATAACAGACCCACGACCTCAGCAAATAAGCATGTCGTAAGAGTCGACTAATGGGTGGGGGTTCATTCGAAGTCTATGTGCATCTTCATGAGAGGCAAGGAACCAACAGTCTGCATACAAATATAACAGATCTGCGAAACAGATATGCACGCAACACTCAGGTTCTGGAGCGAGACTAAACTTCAGAGGCGAACAAACAGCCTGCATTTTTCTGAAGGCGTTTACATCCGGTGAACGAGAAGAAAACAAAGTCACCTTCCAACAGCATGGTCAGAGAGTGCCCTCTGCTAGAATCCAAATGTACAAATGCCAGAATCACACTCCATCAGTATAGTCACTTAATGCTGTTTTCTAAAATGACTTTGCCTATGTACCGAACTTGTTAACCTGCCTATTTTTTATTTCTTCTTTGTGCCAATCGGCAACAAGTCTCACATTCTTGCTGATAATCTTTAGGGGTTGTTTTTGACGTAGGTCTTATAAAATCATGATAGGGTTATTTTAGGGGAACACTTGTAGTTTTATTTTAACACCTTCAGGATCGGCAGTGTGTGCTTCTATGCAACGATTACTTAGGATAGAAATGAATGCATGCTTGGGGCATTATCAGGTAATGGTACAAAATTGATATGCTGATATTGTTTATCAAAGAACTGTTCCATAACCTAGATATCTTTATTCACTAAAGGATCCACACTAAGGGGTATACATCCGTACAACTGTGTGGCGTCATCCCCAGATGGGAAACACGTTAAACATCTGCTGGACAAGAACGGGTAAGTGAAGGGTGGTTTTGTTGTTATAAATGATGTAAGTATAAAAAACAACAAAACAAATCAAAAGAGGGGGAGGGTTCCCGCGCTATCAGGCGTATCGGGCATATAGGGCTAGACCTATATTTTATAGACCAATGGGCACTCGGTGGGTTGTGAGGTCAACATCTCACTTGCCAGTGCTTTATTAATATCCCAAAACAGGGAAAATCCACAGGTCACGGGACAGTCTAATATTTCAAGGGGTGGTAGATAGGCTGGGACTCAGGCTGCATGCAGTCGTGGGACCTAGGCTGCACTCTCTCGTGGGACGTAGGTGGGTTGGGGTTATGGCCAGTTCTAGATGTTTTGGGGTCGTTTAAAGAATCAGAAAGCTGGGAAACCCAGTCTTACCACCCTCTAAAATGTTGGACTGTCATGTGACGTCATGTCGGGGTAGTATATTAATAAAGAACCCACCTGCAGTCTGTACTTCCTATCGTATCCATTTTAAGGCTGGATCACCCTGGGAACCAAAATCAATAAAAAAAAAGTATGACTGGATTTGAAACCACGACCTTGTACGGAGGAAAAGAACAGCTTGTGAAAACATGAAAATTCCACTACATGGCATTGGACCAAAGGGCGAAAGCTCATGCGCCGCTGGATCGATAACAACAACAAACCACGACCTTTGAACCTCAGGTGTTTGGAGTCTTCTGGGAACTCTTTTTTTTTGGGGGGGGGGGGGGGGTGAGTTAAAAGTGATGTACCACCAATTCATTCTCTGTCCCCTAATATATTGCAGTTTCATGTGGACAGGAGGAAATTGTTATACACCTGTGCAGCAAGCGGAAGACAGGGAAAGATTGCGAGTGTTGTGTGCTGGTGATTTCATTGATTCTCCTCCCGACCTCAGATGGTCAAGTGTTACTTTATATTATGTTACTGTAATGTGTTTCAGCGTTCATTCTAATGCTAGTGTTCTGACCTTGTCCATTCTCTTGTTATTTGGTGGGGGGGGGGGGATGCTTTTGACCTTACTTTTTATCCATTTTACCGTGGTGGTTCCATGCTAAATTTACTGTGTTGATTGGCAGGTGTCAGGTCTGGGATTCACCCGTCCAGACGTTTAACTCCGCGGCTGACAACAAGATCCGGACGCCATGGTTCAATCTGTTCGCCTTTGAACATGAGACGTCTGTCACCTTCCGGTGTTCGTTTGACTTTTGCTTCACGTCTGATTGTGAAGTTGTAGGTCTTTTAATGTTGTGATTGTGAATTTGAAGGTCTTTTAATGTTGTGATTGTGAAGTTGAAAGTCTTTTAATGTTGTGATTGCGAAGTTGTAGGTCTTCTAATGTTGTGATTGTGTAGATATAAGCATGTCTTCTAATGTTTTGATTGTGAAATTGTAAGTTTTTTTATGTTGAGATTATGGCTGTCTAAGTAGGTCTTCTAATATTGTGATTATGAAAATGTAATTGTGTCTTCTAATGTTGTTATTGTGAAGTTGTTAGTACCTCGTGATGTTGTGATTGACAAGTTGTAAGTATGGCTTTTACTAGTACGATTGTAAATATGTCATGTAATTTTATTATTGTGAAATTGTAAGTATATTAATGTTGTGATTGTGAAGTTGTAATTATGTCTTCCCGTGGTGGGATTTAAAAGTTTTAAAAATGTCTTTCAATGTTGTTTTTCTTCAACGCGAGATAACAATTTGCTGGACTAAATTATCTTTTGCAAAATCGACAAGATCGACTTCATTGCACCAGGCTTAATCCCGTATGGACTAGATCTTTCTCTCTCTCTCTCTCTCTCTCTCTCTCTCTCTCTCTCTCTCTCTCTCTCTCTCTCTCTCTCTCTCTCTCTCTCTCTCTCTGCAGAACAGATAGAAACCTGTCAAGAGCGTAACATTTGCACTCATCAACTAAAGTTCTAGCTGACTTGACATATTGACATAGACGTGATGCTCTTACGACATAACTATACCGTGACGCTCTAGCTGACTAGACAGAAACGTGATGCTCTAGCTGATGTGACACAAACGTGATGTTCTAGCTGACGTGACATTAGCGTGCTGTTCTAGCTGACTTGACGGGAACGTGATGTTCTTGTTGACTTGAGATAAACGTGGTGTTCTTGCCCACCTAACTATAATGTGATGCTGTGGTGTTGGATGATGCTTCGCAGGGATGCAGGCCTGGATCGAGGCGGCGACGAGACACACAAGATGCCAGAGATGAGCAGACACACTCCACAACCAGGACTATCCGAGTTCTGCCAAGTATTCCCGCCAAAGGTAGTCCGAGCTCTCTCTCTCTCTCTCTCTCTCTCTCTCTCTCTCTCTCTCTCTCTCTCTCTCTCTCTGAGGGAAACAGAACAGATCCATTTGCCCCTGAAAAGCATGTCGTAAAAGATGACTAATTTGAGGCTTTTCCTTTGAAGTTGGTGTGCATCTGGGAGGCGAGGAGCCAATGGTAGGTACACAAACAACCAGATAAACCAGTTCTGTAAAACGGATGCGCACGCAAAACTCTACTTATGGAACAAGACCAAAGTCTTACCCTGACAGGACATTCTGTGGACAGTCTAGATAGCAGTAACAACTTAACTGGACACACTAACTACAAGTCCTAAACTGTCCATAAGAGAACTTCCCTGGACACAGCCTCTACTACGTGATGTTAAACCAAAATCTGTGTTGACTTTATTGTGATGTCCCTTATGTATTTTTAGATTGTGTAGATATTTTATGTATGTTCCCTTTATAGTGTGATTATTTTATGTTTCTTCCCAGATTGTTTAGATGTCCTATGTCTAGTCCCATATTGTGTAGATGTTCCAGATCTATTCCCAGGTTAAGTAGATGCTTCAAATCTGGTCCCTGATTGTTAAGAGGTTCCATATATGTTCCCAGATTGCTTAGATGTTCGAAATCTGGTCCTAGATTATGTAGATGTCCCGTTCCTGTTCCCATATTGTTTAAATGTCCTAAATCTGTTCCTAGATTATGTAAATGTTCCATATCTGATCCCAGATTGTTTAGATATTCCAAATATGGTACCAGAATGTGTAGATGTTCCATGTCGGTTTTCAGGTTGAGCTCATGTTTTATACATTTGTTCATACTGAGTAGATGTCACATATCCGTTTCCAAGGTTCTCTGGATGTTCCTTACATCTTTCTAGGTAACACTCAGACAGAGGAATACCAGCCAGCCCACCCACCGGCAGGTCCACCAGCCTACGACATGGGCCCGTTCGTCTACGTCAACCCTGTGACCTGCTCGCTCTTCCTGCTCATCCTTCTGGTCTTCCTCTGCATGTACATCGCCTTCATCCGCACACTGCGCAAGTCTGTCTACGACATCCGGAAGGAGATCGAGGTCAGGAGGTCACGGGACAAGTTCCTCCATTGTGGGTGTGTTCAGCAGAAAGACAGGGATTATGTTGCACCTTAGATGTTTGAATACATTACTGGATGTTATTTTTATTAAAACATTTTTGGTTCATTAAGCGTAGCTTTATTTATGTGCACAATCCATTTCATTCACTCATTTTCCGGTTACGAATAGGGGTCTATGAAAATACTGTGTGCTAGAATACATTTATCTCTGTATCGTTGTTCCTTCTCTACGCCATAGTATAAGGGCTACTGGGTTATACAAAAGTTAGTCTCCCCAAACAAAGCAGGTCACGTTCCATTCATAAGTTTTTTTAGGCTGGTAAACCTTCATGCAGGTTACGGATGTGCCGCTCTGTTGTTTGCTTTCTGGGTTGTCTTGCATTTACGTTTTTATTCCGAGAAAGAGAATGCCTGTGACATATGTTTTATCACTCTCTAAAAAGGTTTTGTGTTAGACCAAGTTTGTCGATGTTTTTGGAGTGTTAAAAGCGCTGGCGTGCTGAAATATATAATACGCAATATCAACGGCATTGCTGAAAACTTCCGTAACCTTGTGGCAAGGTAGCGTAACTCAAGGTCGACAAATCAGAAATGAGCTAGTGTGTAACACTGAATAAATAGTGAGACTAACGTTTGTATAACCGAGCTACTGTATAGGTACAGTCTTTCCTTCAAAGTCGGAGTGCATCTACATGAGACAATCAGCATACAAACAAGCCAGATCTGTAACACGGATGAGCAACTAAAACTCAAGTTATGGACATGAATAAAGTCCAGAGATGGACGAACAACCAAAGCTTTCCGCCGGAGTTCACAGCCGGGGAATACGAAGAAGAAGAAAATAAAGTTAAGCAGGGTTTCTGCGCTTTGTTCCTTTGGAGGGAAAAGTAAAATACAATTTCGTCACAGCCTTGCATGTACAGCCACTACAGTGCTAAACCAACTCGCACAGTACAGCAGGTAACACCAGGCTGGGGTACCGTCTATGGTATTCCTTTAAAGGGGCATCTGGTGTTTCCTTGCAGCGGTAAAGGGAACGAACGGCAAGCACGCACCCGCGCACTACGTTGGAGTGAATCATTACACCAAGATTGTGTTTCTTCTTCATTAAAGTCTAGAATATAAAGAAGCTTGTAATGCAGGCCAAACAATTCCTGGAGCACTCGGAGATGTGGTTTTACAAAAGAATGCTTAGAATTCCTTGGACAGCTAAAAAGAGCAACCAAGAGGTTATGAAAGAGGCGGGAGCCCGAAGACAACTAATCACAGACATCAGAAGGAGACAGTCATCATTTTTTGGCCATGTTATGAGAAGATGGAAAATAGAACATGTTGTGACCACTGGAAAGACTTGTGGAAGGAGAGATAGAGGAAGACAACGAGAGAAGATGCTTGACAGTCTTGTTGCATGGCATGGAGGTGTGTCGGCACACGAACTGATACATGCTGCATGAGATCGCAGATTATGGAGAGGCATGATCGCCCAAGCCAGTCGGCAAGGCACCTGATGATGATGATGATGATGAATAACTACAACAGGTAATAAATAATTAAAATGTGCTGTATTTGAATGATTTCCGTGATCGATTTTTGTGTGAGATTTTTTGGGTTTGTAAAAAATAGTTAGGCACAATTCTGGGCTGGGAATAAATTAAACTATTTGTAGTTCATTCCTATGGGGACAATTTGTTTTATATTCGTCTTTTGAAACATTCGTTCTTTCCTCAGGAACGGATTAATGACGAATATTAGAGTTCCACTGTCTGTATGTGTGCGCGCATGTTTGTATGTGTGTAGTCTTGAAGGCTGTTCACCTATACAACAAACTGGGCAGTTATGTTGCTGCTCAGGCCTGTGAATAAATTATGTGCAATATGTAAATATCAGTTAAATCTGCTGAAGGTATGCGGGAGAATCAATTACAAACTCCCCGTAAAGTGACGTGAATGTCGTTAGCTTTTCTGTCCGTGACAGCACACAGCAGAACTGTCATCGTCTCCCTGGCCGGTTGGACAGTATATGATGAAGTGGCCTGTCAGATGTGTGGCTGCGTTGCCATAAATCTGGCCTTTTATCATTTAGTTATCCTGTTTTAACTAACCAGCACCTGTCAGTCAAGTTCTATCACAGGGCGTTACTACGTTTTACATTGTGTTACGGTTCTTTGTCTGTCTGTGCGTATGTACATTGTTTTACGGTTGGTTTGTCTGTCCGTGAGTATGTACATTGTTTTACGGTTGTTTGTTCTTTGTCTGTCTGTGCGTATGTACATTGTTTTACGGTTGGTTTGTCTGTCCGTGTGTATGTACATTGTTTTACGGTTGTTTGTCTGTCCGTGTCTGTGTACATTGTTTTATAGTTGTCTGTCTGTGTGTATGTACATTGTTTTACGGTTGTGTGTCTGTCCGTGTGTATGTACATTGTTTTTTAGTTGTTTCTCTGTCTGTGTGTATGTACATTGATTTACAGTTCTTTGTCTGTGTGTATTTACTTTGTTTTACGGTTCTTTGTCTGTGTGTATGTTCATTGTTGAACGGTTCTTTGTCTGTCTGTGTGTTTGTCTGCCTTTTAGTTTTCTGGATTCAACTAACCAGCACCTGCCAGTTAAATTCTATCCGGTGGTGTTCTATTGTTTTAGTAGTTCTCTGCCTGCCTGTATTCATGCATGCTTCTTCCTGTTTGGGGGGGGGGGGGGGGGGGGGGGGGGGGGGGGGGGGGAAGGCAAAAGAAACGTTCAGATGACTAGACATTAGATCGAAGTCAAAAGAAACGTACAATAGTTCCTAACATAAAGCTCAACTCTAACATCAAAACAATACTGCAGTACGAAGAAAACAGCATGTGATGAAAACAACTATGCGCTTATTGATACATTGTATACTGATGAACCACACCTTGCAGCAAATTCATTAAGAAGCAGAAAAAATCAGAATGGTTTGGTCATTTAGTAAAAATGCAGCCAGAACAACTACCAACGCAGACGTTACACATGAAAAGATCTCAAGTGAAATTTTGAGGCCGCCCTAGGAGAACATGGACTGATGACATTAAAGAGGTACTACATAGACACGAAATAGCAATAGCCAATGATGCCTACAAAGCAATGGATTGCAAACTGTTTCACCCCACAACGCTTAACAGCAGAAGAGAAATTGATGATGATAAAGATAATGATGATTTTGCTGTATGCTGGTGCCTGGTCAGAAAAGAACTGATAAAAATTTATGACATAATCCTTAATAGTGCTCATAGAGGGGAAACTAAACAAATGCCACTACACCTAGAGGTGAGGGAAAGATGCTGAAGCTGAACATGACATAGATTTCAAGAATCAGTTAATAGCTCTTTTGGAAAGTCGTGTCATGGGAACGCTCAGAGAAAAAAGAGATTGATGAGACATAAAAACATACAAAAAATATAACTAGATTCAGGGTTATTAATATGGATAGGATATGGAAGGGGTAGCGCAGTGTGAGATGGGGAGTTTCTACACTCCAGTAGCAGAATAAAGACACAAGTAAAGGGCCCTTTTTCCGCGCCTGAAGCCGTACACACCTGAAGCCGTACACACCTTGAGCCGTACACACCTTAAGCCGTACACACCTGAAGCCGTACACACCTTAAGCCGTACACACCTTAATCCGTACACACCTGAAGCCGTACACACCTTAAGCCGTACACACCTTGAGCCGTACACACCTTAAGCCATACACACCTTGAGCCGTACACACCTTAAGTTGTACACACCTTGAGCCGTACACACCTTAAGCCGTACACACCTTAAGCCGTACACACCTTAAGCCGTACACACCTTGAGCCGTACACACCTTAAGCCGCACACACCTTGAGCCGTACACACCTTGAGCAGTACACACCTTAAGCCGTACACACCTTGAGCCGTACACACCTTAAGCCGTACACACCTTGAGCCGTACACACCTTGAGCCGTACACACCTTAAGTTGTACACACCTTGAGCCGTACACACCTTGAGTTGTACACACCTTGAGCCGTACACACCTTGAGCCGTACACACCTTAAGTTGTACACACCTTGAGCCGTACACACCTTAAGCCGTACACACCTTAAGTTGTACACACCTTGAGCCGTACACACCTTGAGCCGTACACACCTTAAGTTGTACACACCTTGAGCCGTACACACCTTGAGCCGTACACACCTTAAGTTGTACACACCTTGAGCCGTACACACCTTGAGCCGTACACACCTTAAGTTGTACACACCTTGAGCCGTACACACCTTAAGTTGTACACACCTTAAGCCGTACACACCTTGAGCCGTACACACCTTAAGCCGTACACACCTTAAGCCGTACACACCTTGAGCCGTACACACCTTAAGTTGTACACACCTTGAGCCGTACACACCTTAAGTTGTACACACCTTAAGCCGTACACACCTTAAGCCGTACACACCTTGAGCCGTACACACCTTAAGTTGTACACACCTTAAGTTGTACACACCTTAAGCCGTACACACCTTGAGCCGTACACACCTTAAGCCGTACACACCTTAGGCCATATAGTGCTAAAACAATGTTATAGGCACTAGGTGGGTGGTGTGGTCAACCTCACACCGGTCGCTTTTACTTCCCGTGACTTAACCTGGTATCTAGTAAAGGATGGGTCGACCTATGAGCTAAGGTCATTGTTGAAAGAAGTCCGGATATGCTCGGATTTGAACCCAGGAACTTTCTTCTTCTTCTTCTTCTTCTTCTTCTTCTTCTTCTTCTTCTTCTTCTTCTTCTTCTTCTTCTTCTTCTTCTTCTTCTTCTTCTTCTTCTTCTTCTTCTTCTTCTTCTTCTTCTTCTTCTTCTTCATCTTCTTCTTCTTCTTCTTCTTCTTCTTCTTCTTCTTCTTCTTCTTCTTCTTCTTCTTCTTCTTCTTCTTCTTCTTCTTCTTCTTCTTCTTCTTCTTCTTCTTCTTCTTCTTTTCCTCCTCCTCCTTTCTCTTCTTCTTCTTCTTTTTGTTCTTCTTCTTCTTCTTTTTCTTCTTCTTCTTCTTCTTCTTCTTCTTCTTCTTCTTCTTCTTCTCTT